CGCAACTGGCCCCCCAACAACAGCAACGCTCCCGCTCGAGACTTCCTCCTTTTTCACTCAGGGCTGGTGCTCTTGCTCGCCGCCGAAAGCCGCCGTCCCACCGAAACCAGCGCTCCCGTTCGGGACGTCCTCCCGTTTTACCTTGGACTGGCGCGCTACTCTTTCTCTCATCGGCGCCGCCCCCAGCAAAAACAACGCTCCCGCTCGAAACTCCCTCATTGTTTTACCCAAGGCGGTGCTCCTCCTCGCCGCCGAAGACCGTCGTCCCGACAAAACCAGCGCACCCGCTCGAGACTTCCTCCCGTTTTCCCTTGGACTGGAGCGCTACTCTTTCTCTCATCGGCGCCGCCCCCAGCAAAAACAACGCTCTTCCTTTTTGGCTCAAAGCGGTGCTCCTCCGCGCCGCCGAAAACCGCCGTCCCGACAAAACCAGCGGCCCCGCCCGAGGTTACCTTCCATTTTACGCTGGACTGGCGCCCTACTCTCGTTTGAATTGACGCCGCCCCAGCAAGAACAACGCTCCCGCTCGAGGCTGCCTCCCTTTTTCGTCAGGGGGGTGCTGTTCCTCGCCGCCGACAACCGTCGTCCCGACAAAACCACGGCTCCCGTTCGAGGCTTCTTCCCTTCTTACTCAAGGCGGTGTTCCTCCTCGCCGCCGAAAGCCGCCGTCCCAGCAAAACCAGTGTTCCCGCTCGAGACTTCGTTTTGTTTTACGCTGGACTGGCGCCCTACTCTCTCCAGAATTGGCGCAGTTCCCAGCAACAGCGGCCATGCTCGAGACTTCCCCCCTTTCTATTCAAGGACAGGTCCTTGCCTCGCCGCCGACAGCCCCCATCCCCACAAATGCAATCCTGTCGCTCGATACTTCCCTGTGTCTTACCCTTTGGCTGGGGTGCCACTGGCGGCTTTGCATCGGCGCAATAAGGCGCGGGCATGTGTTTTCGAGGCGGGATGCGTTGAAATTCCTCGGGATAAGTGTTTGCAAGACCTCATTGGGCGGGAGATCTGGGAACGGGAATAACGGACCTCGCTATGAACAAGAGTTCCCCATGATGGGGATGGTTATCATGATGGTCGCATCTTTCGTGTGGAAACATCGCGCATGAGGGTAACATGATGGTCGTTGTTGTTGAACTCTCACTTCTGAGGATTAATTATTGTTGGTCCCCGTCACCGGTGCAGACTGTTTTTTCTCAATCAAACTGTGCCCCTCGACGCTCGCCCCCTTTTGTTTACAAGGAACATCTTGATGCTCAAACTCTGCCCCTGGCCCCCCGGATTGCAACAACAACGGTTCCCGCCTGAGACGTCCTCCAAATTTACTCAGGATCGGTGCTCCCGCCTCTGACTTCCTCGCAATTTAGTCAGGACCCGCCCTCTCCCATCTGAGACTCCCTAACAATTTACTCCGGAACGGCGCTCCCGCTTGAGACTTCCTCCCAATCGAATCAAGATTTCATCGCAATTGAATGAACACCCCCGCTCTGGCAAGAGAACCCATCACATTATACATAAAAATTGCGCTCTCGCCTATGACTTCCGACGTTCAGGGAACACGCTGCGCCAAGGACGCCGTCACAATTTACTTAGGAATCGCGCTCTCGCCATACTCAGGCATCCCGCTTGAATGTCCCACCCGCCCGACCCGCCCGTCCGGGGATCGCCCGCCCGTCGTGGGCTCCCGCCCGAGACTCCCTTCAGGAACGGCGCTTTCGCCTAGGACTTCCTCGAACGTTCACGCTCTTACCTTCCTGCTCCTCCTCCCTCTCCCTCCTCCTTCCTCCCTCCTCTCCTTCCGACTCTCTTCCCTCATCCTTATGCCTCTCTGCCCTATCCCATATCCCTCCGATCCCTCCTCCCTTTTCCCTCCCTTTTTGTTGCCTCCTCCCTCCCACTTTCTGTCTCTCTTTCTCTCTCTCTCTCTCTCTCTCTCTCTCTCTCTCTTTCTCTATATATATATACACCGCATAGACCACCCTTCGGGTGATAAAGAGGCGAGGGGGGGACCACCGTCGCACTCGATCGATCTCGCTATCGATCTCGCTATCGATCTCATTATCGATCTCTTTCGATCAATATCACAATCGATATGGCTATCGATCTCACACTCGATCTCACTAACGATATCACTATCGATAGCACAATCGATCTCACAATAGATCTCACAATCGATCTGGCGATCCATCTCACGATCGATCTCACATTCGGTCTCACGATCGATCTCTCTACCGATATCACTATCGATCTCATTCGATCGATCTCGCAATCGATCTCACAATCGACCTCACATTCGGTCTCACTATCGATCTCACCATCGATATCACAGACGATCTCACAATCGATCTCACAATCGATATCACCATCGATCTCACTATCGAACTCACTATCGAAGTCATGATCGACCTCTCGTTCGATCTCACTATCGATCTCACTATCGATATCACAATTAATATCACAATCGATCTCACATTCGGTCTCAATATCGATCTCACTATCGATCACACGATCGATCTCACATCGGGTATCACTATCGACCTCACTATCGATATCACAATCGATCCCACAATCGATCTCACATTCGGTCTCACTATCGATCTCACTACCGAACTCACCATCATCACCACCATCAGCATCACCATCATCATCATCGTTGTCAACATCATCATCATCATCATCATCATCGTCATCATCATCATCATCATCATCATCACCGACGGGACACCGACGGGACACCGGCGGGACACCGCGGGGCCCCGGCCGCCCGGAAGGGAGACATTTAACCCGGCCGCGCCTCAGCCACACGGGACACCAGTGGGACACCGGCGGGACACCGCGGGGCCCCGGCCGCCCAGAAGGGAATCATTTGGTCCGGCCGCGCCTCAGCCACAGGAGACTTTCTTCTCGCCCGCCCACGCAGCTTCGCCTCGCCCGCACGCACGGCACGCACGAACACGAAACCGAAATCGATTTCCCGGTAGGGGGGCTCTCCGTTCCACTTCGATCTCACCCCCTCACCTCCGATAATTATATCCCCTCTCTCTGTCTCTCTCTCTCTCTCTTTCTCTCTCTCTCTCTCTCCACTTCTCTTATCGGCATTTCTCTCGTTATCTCTCTCTCTCTCTCTTTTCTCTTTCTCTCTCTCTCTTTCTTTCTCTCTCTCTCTCTCTCTCTCTCTCTCTCTCTCTCTCTCTCTCTCTCTCTCTCTCTTTGCCTCTAATCAACCGCCCCCCTCTTCGCTCCTTCTCTCCTGGCGTTGTCCCTCTTCCTTCGTCACTCCCCCTCTTGTCCTCCCGCTCTCCATCGTTCTCTCCCCCTCTTTTTTTTTTCGCAGGGCCCACACCAATTCCAATGGCGGGTACATGTACGCCCACGAAGGATTTTCCGCCCGTGCAGGTTTGCCCGCCTGTCTAAGCCCGCCGCCCCCCGCAAAGACAAATAATCCCCCCAAAGGGGGAGGGCGGGTATCGAGGGTGTGGGGAACTCGTTTTAAATGGCACACGGGCGAGTAAGAGCGAACAATATTATAATGATTGTTGTTGTTGAACATTATTAATTCTAAAGAATAATTATTGTTGGGCCCCCTGGTGCGCGCCCCCCCCGCCGCGCCTAGGCCGCAGCCACGTTTTCATCATTTTCGTGAGGAAGCCTCAGGTAATTCGAGGTGATCAAGATCCGGTTGTTTTGTTGTAATCCGTTTTCCCTTGCAAAAAACACTATAAAATGACATTTCTTGTTCTAATATAATCAAATTTCAAGAATCCCTTGCAAAAAATAAGGTAAAGTGGACATTCGCGCGCGCAAGACGAAATCCTTCCAAAAGCTTAGTGTTCGGAGCGATTTTAACATAAAAACATCAAAAAACCAATGGTTTTTCAACAAAAAAATGTCAAAATCTCATCCCGCGCGCTCTTGCGGATTCGTAGGAAACCAACACTTTTTAAACATTTCTGTCAAACGGGCTTTTGCGAGCAACTTTTTCGAACTTCTGCGACAACGGTTGCGCACCTGCCAGGGCCATCATCCCTGTCAAATAATACCATGCGGGACACATTCGTTTTTTCTTCGCGCGCGCACGCCGAAATCTCCAAAAACCATTGGGTTCTTAAGAATTTTAGCACCGCGCATCATAAAACCCCACGCCAGTGTAGTAGCCACGGTCGTCCGCACGCCACGAAGTGAAGTGTCCCAACGTCATAGGGCGGGAAGCTGGGTTTGGGTGGTCGCGAAGAGTCGTTTGGATATTTGGTAGAGCTTGTAATGCCCCCCCACGAAGTGGGGGTATTGCCTGGTGTCGTATGAAAACCCTGGCACTGGGGAGAACACCACGCGTTCGGGTAAAATGATTGTTGTTGTTGTTGTTGTTGTTGTTGTTGTTGTCTGTTGTCCCCCCCGCGACCAAGTCCGCGACCCACCCGCGACTCACGGCGCGACCAGGTCCGCGACCCATCCGCGACCCACGGCGCGACCCACCCCGCGACGCAACCGCGACCCGCCCGCGAGCCACCCGCGACCCAGGCCAGGGATCCACCCCCGACCCGCGCGAGACCCAAACCGAGACCCGCCCGCGACCAAAACGCGACCCACGGCGCTACCCACCCACGACTCACCTGCGACCCACGCGCGACCCACGCGCGACCTACGCGCGACCCACCCGCGAACCACATGCAACCCATTCGCAACCCACCCCGCGACCCACCCGCAACCCACCCCATGCCAACCCCCTCACTCTTATCTGCAACTGCGGGGTGCTACATCCGTATTTTTTCCTCGGACGCTAAACCAAACTTCCTGAACCCATCGTTTGGGATTCCGGTCGTCGTTTTCAAAAGAGGCAGGGTCAAGACGGACTGAGCCCAGACGGAGTCCGAACACCCCGTCAGGAAAGGCCGAATCCAGACAGACAGATAGAAACCGAACACTTCTGTGAACCTACCCCGCGCGCACGCATCATCCTCCGGGTCGTCCGACGACGACGACGCTGACGGCAAACGGCGCGGCGCCCGTTCGAGTACACGTGCGGGTGCGCCGGCGGCACCCCCACGAAGACCACCTGGGTGGGGAGGCGCGGGCAGCGGCTGCGTCCGCACACGCGGCAAAAACGAGGCTAACGGGGAGGTGGAGTGGCAGGGGGGCCTCCCCCTGTTCCTCCTGCTCCTCCTCTTCCCGCCCCTGCTGCTCCTGATTATCTTCCTCCTGGTGTTGCTGTTGTTGATTGCTTAAGGGTTCGTCGAGTGCGCCTCCCCCCCTAGGGAGAAAGTACAAATGCGCTGCAAGAGAAAATGGGGCGCGACGGGTGCGGCAGGACAAGGGTCCTTCCCCACCCCTTTCCCCTCTGCCAGCCCATCCTAGGTGGACGCCCGGCACGCGCGCCCCCCCCCGGTGCCCACTCTTATCGGCCAGCGGCGCGGCGGGGGCGGGGGGGGCCCTCAGGGGACGGCCGCGGACAGCGGAGGGAGCCCGAGGGGAAGGAGAACAAGGAAAACGTGAGAGGGAGGGGGGGGGAAGAGCGTGGGCGCCAACGGCGGCGCTCGCGCTGGCGGGCGCGGGCGAAAGACAACGGCAGCGCGGGCGAGCGAGAGGACCACGGGGGCCCTCGGGGAACGGCCGTGGAAACGGCGAAGCCCGAGGGGAGGGAGGCGAGGGAATGCTGTGAAGCGGTGGGGGGGGGGGTCATGGCGGCGCAGGACTGGGGCTGGCAGCGGGGTTCACCGTCGTCCTGCCTCGCCCCCTCTCCAACCAGTTGGCGGGTGGGGGAAAAAAACACCAAATGGCCAACCTAAACGATCCAGTGGTGAGACTGCTCCAGCAGAGCTGTCCTGCAACGTCCCCCCGCCGCGGCCTCCACCCTCCGCCCTTCGTTGGACCCGCTGAAAGAAACAGGATCGGCTGGCGGCCGCGCGTGGCCTGGGCCCGCAAGGGCCCGAAAGTTAGGCGGTTCACCCCCAAGTTCCATCCCGTTTCGGCGCTGCTTGTTGTTCTCTCCGGGCTTAGCTCCAACCGTTTGTTCTCTGGAGCGGCGCGTGGCTCAAAATGCGGGCCTACGACCGCGGGCGGTTGCGGTTGCGTTGCCTTTCTGGTCTGGAAACGTGGGCCCGCGAGCGTGGACGGTCCAAACTGCGCTGCCTCCTCTGGTCTCTGCTGGTGGACAGGCCAAGCGCAGTGACGCGGTGGAGGAAGAAGACGGATACGCGCGAAGATCTGCCGCGGCATACGGGTGAAAATTGGGATCGCTTGAGACCCAAGGAATGGCACCTGCAGGCCATCGACGGGTGCTGGCGGACAGCCATGCGGCTTTGTTTTCCCGGAGCACGGCACCCCATGCCGAGGTGGTCTCACTGGCGGGGTGGCCATTCTGATAGCGCGCTCGTCTGAAGCGGCGGTATACATCGAGCTCGAGGTCGGTGGAGGCCCACTTCGAGCTCTTCGCAAGGACGGGCGGGGCTCCACGAGCCTGGAGTTCGCGCGCGAGGTCATCGAGGTCGTCGGCCTGGGCAGGCGGCGCCAGCGGGGCCTCGGCCGCGCAGATGGCCTCGAGCGGGCGGGCCCCCGCGTTGGGCGAGGTTCTGGCGGTCGGCGCGGCCGCCCCCGCAACAGGCGCGGCCCCGCCGCGCACCGGCGCCTCCGGCCATGCCTCGGCGTCCTGAGGCGGCGCGGCCGCCTCGCCGAGGGCGGCCGCCTCCGCCGTCGGAAACTTGCACCTTGGCCTTGAACTTCTGGGAGAAGCTCGTCTTGGCCTTCGGGGCCCTGCCTGGGAGCTTCGCCTTGGCCACGCCTCGGCTGAGGTGCTCGAGCGAGGCCTCCCCGCCAGTCTCGGCTTTCGCGCGCTTCTCTTCCGCCCAAGGCCCAGGTCCTGTTTCCCCCACGCCACGCCCTCGGTGTCTCAACGTCCTCCCCGCCTTTCTCGAAGTCCGCGTCGCCTCCCTCAAAGTCTCTCTTCCCTCCCGGGCGAAATCGAAGGGGTCCTGGCGGACCTGGCGCGGGGCATCGTCGGGGCGCTGGTCCGCGCAGGGTTTCGTGGCGGATCCAGCCGTGGCGACGGGGGCGGGGTCCTTCGGGGGCGGCCAACAGGGGGGCGTCCAAGAGTGGGGGGGCACAAATCATGGTCGGCGGCAAGTGCGCGGTCCAAGAGGGGGCCAGGGACGTGATGAAATAAGAAGAGGGCACCATGAAATCAAAGGAAATATCGTGGCCCACGGCATGAGATCCACCCCCCCTCCTAGTCATCACTCCCCTCTTGGCCGCCCCCGAGTCCTCGGCAACATAGTCCGAAGGGGCAGGTGCGGGGGGGCCGCAGAGGAGGCTGCAGCCCAGGCCTCCTCCTCACTTGCCCAAGGGGGCACAAAGCAGGCGCCGCAGTCGCACGACGGGGTGCAAGGCGGCAGCAGGAAGGCCCCGCGGTCGCCGCGCCTGGCGCGGGAGGCAGTGGCCCAGCGTCCGGGTGGCCTTGCCGTGGCGGGGACCTCTGTGAAACATGTGCATGTGACGGTTCTCACGGTTGAA